TTCACTTTATTTTACATAGGAACAGTTTTGCTTTCAACCTAAAAACGAGCGATATTTTACAAGCGATATCGGTATCGAGTAACAGCAACCCAAAATGCACGTTCGATACCTATGTAAACTGGCCTTAGGATCTGACCTCTCCGCTTTAATACGCAGCTAAGTAATCGTTAATTAGGCAAAGGAAATGCTGCTTAGTATCATCGATTTTTAGAAACATCATTCCCCATCATCGGAAGATGAAAGGTGTATTCGTTTGTCAAACTGGTTGCAACGCCCAGAGGGACGCTTCAAAGATCCCACAAAGTATATACATTCTGGATCAGCATCAAATTGTGAACCGATTGGAGCATGCTCCTCTGTCCGTCTGTGTATCTAATGTAAACACTCTCCTGGCCACAAAAATCAAGCTAGCGGCAGTTGTTGCAAAAACATTGGAATCTCTTGCATGCAGATTGGTATTGAGAATGAGCCAAATAAGTTAAGGGACACGCCTGCAGTACTACGTAAAAAAATTAGAAAAATTGACCACGCCTATCAAATTGAATTTTTGAAAATCCCGTAAGGTATATAAATTCTTGGTCGTTTTTAAATCCGAAGGGCACCTAGGCATGTCCATCTACCCGGCCGCCGTAGTATCTGTGGTACACATTCTCTCAAAAGAATTTGAAAGTGATCTAAACTTTTTAAGGGACACGCCTACAACGCCAACACACCTTGTAAGGAAGAAATTTTTTTTTGGAAAATGGAAAAAATAACCTGCGAAAAATTAGTTATTTTATCTTTTTTGTCCTTTTTGGGAAACAGCAATGGATACAATGGATTCGATGACAGCCGAATATAAGTTTCTTAATTATTTTATTATCAAACACGAAGCCAAGCAATTGACTCACACTGATGGCATGCCCCGACTGAGAGTTAGCCGATCTTTTAGTCTATTGCGTCGTAAAGTTTAGCTCCGATGAAGGCCTAAACTATTAGCTCGTTTGCATTTGTCTTGACTGAAGGAAAGATTTCTGTGTTCGAAAAGTCAAGGCGCCTCTTGAAAATATTAGCGAGAAATGCGCCTCGAAGACTCCATAAAGCATATGTTTTGAAACAGCATATGACTCTGATGCAATTTAAATATTTCTCTTTCCACTTACTAATCTCGCACGAGATAGAAAGTTGAAGCTGAACATTTATTTATATCAAGACGTTTTGGAATGAAACATAGGTCAAGTCGAGAAAGAGAAATTCCCCCAACTTAGTTGTTAGAAAACACGATCAATTTCGTCTGCTGCACCAAATGTACCGTTTCGAAACTGTAAGGCACACTTAAAAGTTCAAAGCGAAAATGATTTCAATCTCACGACCGACAAAGATTTGAAAAAAACCTCTTTATCTGATGATTACACAAAATCACCTTAAGCTCTAATAGTTGTTTTAATGGAATTTCTTTCATGTTTTTTTTTTTTTCATACTGACGTCACTGCATTATGGAAGCACATTCATTGTTTCGGAATGTTTGCAACACTTAGATGAAAGCTTCAGTAATCGTATAAAGTGTACATGTTCTCGATCAGAATCAAATTGTGAGATAATAGAGGTGTGCTTGCACTTGTCCCTCTGTCCGCTCATTTGTGTATTTGCCTCTGGCAAACATTAAGATATTCGCTCTGAAGTTGGCAACAACAAGCGAAGCTCCTATCGTATTAAAAAAGGGACCAAACAGATCAAGGGGTACAATATTAGAGTTCCACCTAAGCTAAAAACTCCTCTGCTTTCCTTTACTTTACTTTACATCACTCATAAACTACAACACGTGCACCTTGTATAGTTGGCTCCTCAGCCAACGGTCAGCGAAGCTCACTCAATATTTTAAAGTAAGAAAGTGTAGTTTTTTGAGTTTTCTTTTTGAGAGATATGGATATGGAGTGGATTTTAATGGTTCGGTGAAAGTCAAAGATAATTTTTTTTACTTACTACATCTTTCATTATCTATGGTACGGGGTATATTAAGTAGAGTCAGTCACCTTGTATTAAACCAATCCAGAAGCAGCATCATTTTCTGAATCGATTTAAGTCTGTCTGTCCGTCCGTCCGTCGGTCTCTCTCATATTTCTCCTTATTCAATTTACAGATCGGAATTTTTAAAATATTTTGATGAAATTTGGTACACAGTTTACTGTTTTGGCCCAAGGACGAACGTTATTGAAACATGGTTCAGTTTGGGCCATTTCCTTCTCGCCTATAATACGTTATTTTGAAAAGTGTACGAAAATCTAAATTACATTAAAATGTAAGTAAATGAAAATTTAATGTAACATGAAAAAATGTAAGGCCTTATGACCGTACAAAGCGAAGTGGTGTTGGATGGTCGGCCGTGGCCGGCTGTAATACTTTTACTCGTTTTTTATTATTTTTATTTACTGACTTTTTAAAGGGAAACTGTTTAAAAAAAGTATATGTATTGTGCATGTATCATAAAACATTGTAAATGACCTACAAAAATGTAGTGTAAATAATAGCATCGAACATACACAGTCACAGTCAGAGAGTGAATAAATCATTTATGCTGTCAATTGTCAACTGCATTGATGATAATTATACAAGCAAGTCCTTGCTGGTATTGTTGCCGCTACAGACTAGCACATGTTAGCAAACAAATGCTGCCAACAATCATCTTTTGATAATGCGAACTGACTGCAACAATAAATGCAAAATTTGTTGGCAAAATGTGAAAGCAGACGATTACGTTCGATATCAAACAAATAGATTTCAAAATGTTTAAAAATAATACGAAAGATATATGGTCGCCATAGCACGAGCCTATAACGTTTACCATACTTCACGAATATATATAGAAAAGCCTGGCAACGTTTCATTAGTCAATCAGCCACGTTTGCATTATCGGAGAGGAGCAGTTATGTGACACATCTTACCTATCCATGCTAATAAGCCGATGAAGTTTACTTGTCATAATACCTTTGCTCTTTTATGCTACGATTAGAATCAGAATCGTCCTAAAGCCCAAAGCATGGGTGTTTTTTAATTGCCAATGAGATCTCTACGTACAATCTTTCATAGCCCACAACTGTGGCTACATGTGGGAGCAACACAAACAAACACACAGAAGGATAGTTGAACGTGCAGACAGGAGCGTTAGGGTAAGTAAGTACTAAATAAGCTGATCAAGGACATAGGTATACTCTGCGATGCAATGACGCCACGATCACATTGATCCTTAGGAATGTGACAAATGCAATGAGAAAATTAATATACATTTTTTGTTTGTCAGTAGCGCAAGAGCAGATTGTCTATGCGTGCGTAAAGACAACCCTGTCAGATAGTGTATGCAAAAACAATGATAGGATCTACATGCAACATTGCAACGACAGCGACAGCGACAGCGACACCAATAACAATAACCAATGACAACGACACGACAGCTCTTTCATTTCAGATGATTTACTTTTAGTAAGCATTCACATGCAAACATTTGCTCAAATCACATTTGTGTATTATTAGAAACAAAAGCTGGCGATTAAACAAAAGCCAACTTATGGCCAATAACAATAACAATAATAGAAAAAGAAACAAAGCCTATAAAAATCACTTTTGCTAAATAAAACCAAAACCAAACAAAAAAAAAAAAAAACAATTTTCTCAAGTTGTTTGAGAACGTGCCAGTCGACTAGTTTAGGATCATTTTGGCAATGAATTTTTTGGACGCCTGTGTATCGAATTTGTGCTAAACATTTAAGCGTTAATTGCTTCACCTTAAAGTCTTTGCCTACATTTTTGAAAACCTTTTTTTTTTTTTTTACATTTTTTCTCCTATTGTTACGAATTTCGAGGGATTTCGTAAATATACATCAACTTGTTTGCCTCTTCCTACAACGGAAGTTAATAATACTTCTTTTCCTATAAGGGAAATCTGGTGCACTACGAATTTCTTCCAAGGAGCCAAGCTGTTAAGAAATCATTTTAGAGCGGTACGCGTTCTTCGGATTCGGTTAGACCTACGGAATGCTCCGCCTCGCACTTTATTAGTTCTTTGAGACTTTTTATTAGAAAATCAAGCCATAGCATTACGGGGGACTGCATCTGATTCGGCTCCGTTTTATACTTCAGGTGCGCGTTTCTTGAAACTAAGAAAGCCCGTCCAACGGACGGATTGTTTTGACTTCATACCCGGATATAAAGGCTAAATGCACTGAGAATATTCTTAACTACTTAAGACTTAAGACTGCATTAACGATACCCTACTTTAAGATAAAAGTAAACGATACCTTTGGCTTCGGTTACATGTGGTATTTTATATGTTGAGAACGAGTCCGTGCCTTTTAAAAGAGACAGAAAGGACGAAGAGTGAAGCATTAAATCGGATTAAAATCTTGCGCCTACTAAGGTCCTCTTGGTAGCATGAGCCAAGGTGTAATAAATGAAAACTTATGCTCGCTTTTATTTCTAGCGAATCTTGAAAGAACCGAAGGCAGATGCATCCGTAAAGGTATCATCAGGAGTATTTTAATTAGAAAGTGACCAAGAAAAGTTTTTCGAGTTTTTCTATGCTCGCTGATCAGTAAATCTCGCCTATCGCATTTTCGACTTTGATCTTTAAACCTTAACCAGGAACATGTGCATTCAGTTTTTCATCTCATCCTTTCGACCATGACGAATAGACGGATATATCTAAATGTGATATATGTATATTTTCTGAAATCGCTAACGAGAATTTCTTGATATTACAAATGAAATGATGTAACATGCAGAACCGGTTGCTGAGCATATGATGAAGGAAAAGCATGAAGCATTTATTAGATTCGTTAAACGATATCAAATTCTTTGCCTTGAATAACTCTGATAGCATGCATGCAAGCAAAACAAAAAAGAATTTGTTTAATACAAAATTAAATACCATTGCCATGCAAACAAGCAAACAACTACAACTAGTTATGACATTAATGCATTTTTTTTTTGTTGTTTTTTCTTTAATATTTACCTAGAGCAACACCCACCTTTTTTATTCATTTTGTTTACGTTGTTGTTGTTGTTTGTTGAATTGTTTGTGTTTATGGAAGACATCGGTATAGCTAAACAATTTCCCGCCAATTCCATGTCCTGGCTATCGTTTAGCGGGCAAGGTGAATATGCAATTTTACTACCCCGGCCAGGTATGGGACTGACACGAGCGTAACGGCCCGCACCCGCGCTCACAACACCGCGTTCACTCATAACGATTTAAATGCGAGTTGAAAACAATAACAATAACAACAAAAAAAAAAAAAAAAACGAAAAACGAAAAGAAGACAGGAAATGTATGGAAAAATAGCTAAATAATGTTAATTTTCTCAGAACTTTATAAAACAAAATGAAATAAGTAACATTCGCGAGGCCATTATCGTGGCCAATCTATTTGTTGAAGCAATGTTTTAAATTTTAATAACGATATGCCATTGTGTGTGGCTTTTAATATATATTTCATTGATTTTCTTTTCTTTCTTTTTTCTTTTTTTCTTTATTTTTTTTTAATAAGACACACGTTTAACACTTCAATTTCTTGATAGAACACTCTCAACATAACAAAAATTGTAAATTTACAAATTTGTCAGTCATTTTGTGAAGAGGAAGCTGTTCTTCTCGCACGTATGCTAACACAACATTATGGTAACAGCAGCCGACATTAAAAATTCACGAAACACTTGTTTTCGCCTGCTTTGCTTATTAAAAGATTTCTATATTTACAACATTTCTCTCTGCACGTGACATAGTAAATAAAGTTGACATTTCAAAGATTCGCGCACGCAAACACACATACACATGCCCGAACAAATACAACTACATACATATATATATATACATATACACACACAAACATATGCGCACACATGCAAGCTCCCACAAATGAAAATACAAACCTCCAACTACACGCGTAGCTAAAGTCTTGCATTTAAATTTTGTTATTGTTGCGTTTGCTTGAAGAGTAAGCACACCTGCGTTAATGCTATTTTGAGCCTAGAAGAAGGCACTTGAAGTTCCCTTTGAATTTCATTTCACTGGTAAACAACTTGAAAAAACCAACAATAAACAAACGAAACCAAACCACTACCATCTTAACCGTCTACACTATTCATTACTATCTAGCTACTATTTAAATATTTGCATATTTATATGTGTATATGTGTGCGGTTATATGTAAATAAACAGGAGGAAGTTCACGTTTATAACGAAAATATACACCAAAAAAAAAAAAAAATATATATATATATATATATATATGTATATATATATATATTTGTATTATGTATATTAACGAAAAAACCTTACAAGGACATCTTTCCGTTTATTGTGCGACAACAACGTTAAGCGGTACACGTTTCAAATTTCGTTAAAAAAGTAAAAGATTTATGCAGGGAATTGAAAAAATATTTTTAATTGATTTTTTTCATTTAATATTAAAAATTTTTTTTTTTTTAAATACTAATTTTTTTTTTTTTATTTTTTCTTTTCTTATTCTTTTTTTTTTTTTTTTGACTCTATACTTTGATTTAATACTAGTTTTAATCACAGAAACTACTCAGCATACTCAGCACACGGCAGCTGATCAGCTGCATAAATTTACGCATCCTTTTCTTTATCCTAACTAACTTTCGCAAAGAAATTATTTGCACAATTTGCTCAAAAAGAAGCAAATCGTTGGCCAACATGTTTGAAAGGCTTTCGTCGAACCTTCGAACCCTCGAACATATTGCATACTTTGTGTAGTCACAAGCATTTCAAACTGAAAGTAAAGTAAATTTTACTCTCAGAAAAGTCAAATAAAATTTTCCATAAGAGTTTACAGCAAAGTAAGTTTTCTTCTCAGAAAAGTGAAAAACATCTTTCGTAAGAATGCATAACAAAGTAAATTTTACTCTCAAAAGGTGATTTCTCTCTTCTCTAGAAATGCTTAAATTAAAATTTTAGAATGAGTCGAATTTTTAAAACCCTCCGTGGATGGAGAAATTAATTAAAATTGAAAAGTTTACATTGAGATTTTAGACACCACACCAATGACAAAATACCGTAAATAAGATTTTTAGCTAGAGATGAACGCTATATACTTCTTATAGATCTTTTTTCATAATGCTTGTATTATGATAACATAAATTCTCAATTTATAGAAACTTATGGACGATAGCTTTTATTTTCTCCTGTCTATATCTTTTCCAAATGTATGGAACATTTAAATATTCATAAGCATTGAAAGGATTTTGTTACAATGCGATGATTCCTCTCTTATATAAATAAAATAAAATTACATTATCATTACATGATCATTCTTATTAATATTAAGAAGAGTATAAAAGATAAAATTGAAAAAATTGAATTATTTGATTTATTAACTTTGAACATTTAAAAATATCAATTGTATTTAAAGCTATTAACTATTCGTATAGTTATTTAAAATATTTTTAAAATTTTTTCAAATATCCAAAATATTATATGAATGTGGATTTCTTTTTTCCGTTTTGACAGTGAAATTTACTTTGCTGTGCCTTTTTATCTCTTTGAGAGTAAGAGAGTAAAATTTGCTTTGCTACGGCAGCAAAAATTGAGTAAAAAAAATCAATGCTTAGATTTATATTCATGTAAGCAATTGTTAAAAAGTGGCAATTTTCTCTCTATATTTTGTTTTCTCTTCTTTAGAAGAGAACAATCAATCGTGCAAAGTAAAGAGAGAGAGAGAGAGAGAGAGAGACCGTTCCTTACTGTCAACCGAAAATTTAATGAAATTTGAATACATTTTAAACCAAGCGAAAGTGGAACAATGAAATGGAATGAAATTGAAAAAACATTGTTGGGTTTTGATGCTATTTTCTTTGGGTTGGCAGTACTCTTTTCAAAACGTAAATTCGGCGTTACTTACTTACTTGTTTGATTATATGTATATATATAATTTTAAAAGAAAATATAAATCCCGGTAATGCAGCACGGAAAAATAATAATATTATGTAGACATAAATAAATACGTTAAGCCTATAAAATTGCTAACGAGATAGCTGACCTCTATTAAAAAAAGCGGAGAAAAACAGTAATGCCAATAATGCATATTTTATTTCCAACTGTCTCAAACTGATACTCTGCTATGCTTTGCAACCATCGCTTTAAAGCTTTTAAAGCACGAACACGAGCACTTGCCATTAAGGGAATTTCTTATTTTAAATATATATTCTCATGGCAGTTTTAATGGTCGCCAAACGAAAAAATTAATTTATGGTGAATTTTCAATAAATTCGTGAATTTTATTTAGAAGAAGAAAAAAAACAGCAACACTGACATCAAGAGTTTTTCACTTTTAAAGAAAAGAGCGTTTTACAAGAAAGGGAAAAGCAAAGCTTTATACCCACTTGAAAAGTCTCCAAAATTTATGTTAATTAAAACAAAATTATAAATCTTTAATCCTGAGATCGACACTGTTATAGCCATTTTCTAACTTTGTGAAGTATTGTCAAAATGTATCAAATATGCCGTTTTCTGCTTTCTTTTCAGATTGATTAATGAGTATTTATATACTATATTACATATTTATTTTTATGCTAAGCGTTTATATTACATATTTCATGTATATATCTTTGAGTAATGCTGAAGCTGAAATCCTGTGTTTGTCAACTATTTAACAAGCATTTGAAAATTTTTAAAAAGAAGGTAAGTGTGGCTTGACATAATATTTCACATACCAACAACAACGAGGAAATATTTCACAAGAAACAACAGTTATTAAGAATATGATCAGCGGTATTGATTATGACTATATTAAACTCTGTTGCAACGATCCCTGTAGCTTTGTGATGTAAAAATATTTTCCGTCCTTAATTTCTTAGTGTTTAATAAAACAGTGCAACAAAACCACGTGTGGCCGATCTTAGTATTATTTATATTTTTTTTACATTCCGAAGCCAACCTTAAGGTTCTTAAAAAGGTAAACTCAAAACTATCATTGTCACTGATAGTTTGTCTGTATTAAAAGCTATTCGAAAACCCTTGATTCCGAGTTGGAGCATCTTCAACAACTTAAGAAATATCAGCACAACAAGCGGCGATAAAATTAAAATGCCTTGTATACCAAGTCATATCGGTTTATTGGTCAATGGACAAGCTGGTCGAGCGGCAAGGTCTGCTGCTTCTGCACCGCTAATTATGGATGACCTAATTTAAAAGTTAGACATTCAAAGATACATTGGAAGAGAAGTTAAAGAGAAAATTTTACCACCAGCACTACTCCTTTGTTCATTCTCAATTAATTCCACGATTATATCCAACAAATGTTGAGAAAATCAAGATCAAAACGTGCAAAAGTGAAATTTAAAAAAGCGAATTTATTATATTTTTAATAGTAAAGATTTTAAAAATTTATAATAATAGCAATACTATTACAAATTTTTTATGATTAAAAATTGTGATAAATAATTTAAATTAACGAAATAGCAATAACTACAAAGAGAATAGAAGACAAATAAATCTGTGTATAAAATGCAAAAACAAAACACACAAGTCGCTAATTTGCATACTTACTGACTTTTCTTTCTTACTTTTCAAATGTAAACAATAGCACGTGCAGGGCAAATGTAAACAAAAATTTGCATTTACAACAACAGCTACTAGCTTTACAAAGTAAACGGCAACAACAAAAAGCTTTTCAAGCTTGTAATTATGCGCAACAGAAAAGAAAAAATATCGCTACCTTTCACATGCTATAACCAGAGAGGGAGAGAGAGCTAATTAAAGCTTTTCGCAAGCAAAAGCTTCTTATACAAAGAGCAATTTTTTGCAGAAAGCTATATATATATAAAAGCAAACGGAGCAAATGATGGGAAACTTTTCACAGCATAATTTCAAGATCATTGATGGGAAGCTGGATACGCAGAAGGACTACAAGATCAAATGATAGAAAATTAATTAAACAAAGCGATTTTCGAGCGAAGTCAATTGTCTCTGACACAAGTCAATGAGCTGGACGAGTCGGTAGACAAACAATGGTTGTGCCGATCAACTTAGAAAATGATTCAAATTTATGAATTTACGTCCGATGTCTGTCCATGCGTCTAATTAGTCCACCTGCACGTCTCAATCGAGCTGGTATCCTTGGTTATTATTCGAGAGACCGGGGTTCAATTCCCCGTCGCTAAGCGGTGACCTATGCTGTCGCTTCTTGTTTTTGTTATTTTTGTAATACCCAGTAAGACGACTCCTATGTTCTACAGGTGTGCACGCATTCCTATTCAACATGAGTTCATTGACTCAAATTCCGCATGTCTGTTCCTATGTTATATATTATGCGGACAAGAGCATGTATATTTTTCTTTGATGGTTTCAAATTGTGGGCGTCAAGAACACGCGTCGGGAAGAATACTTAATTCCGTCTATCCGTAAATCATAACGTAACTCATATTTATTACCAAAATGAACGTTTTTGGGAAAAAAAATAATTCGTCCTATACCCTTTGTGATAGCGGAGGTATCATAATCACGATACAATCCTTTCTTCTCATTTTAGCCGACAGAGGACAATTTCCTCTATATATCGTCTTGGGTAGGAAGCACATGACGCATCCGTATTCCTTAATTATCATTTTCTATTTTTTTTTTTTTTTTTTTTTTTTTTTGCCATAAGCACCAATGCAAATGAAAGGCCTTTTGGAGGTAAAAATTCTTAATGAATTTCGCCAAAAAGAAAAGAAGAAAAGTGCATAAGTGCATTGCTTAAATGTGCACAGTTGGCCAGCTTATTACCAATATTATTATTGTTATGTGCACGCGAATAAGTCACTTTTACTTCACGTCTATTGCACGAATGTGTGTACTAAGCTTTATCTAAATTATGCAACATATGCGTGTGCATGTTACACTATGAATAGGTTACATTAAAATGCATTTCTTTCATTTTGAATCATTCACACAAAAAACAAAAATATAAAAAAAATTCATTTTAACGCAAAATTAACATAATAATAAAAAAAAAAAAAAAAAAATGTAGAGCAAGAAAAGCAAGGAAATCCATGAAAGAAGAAATTGTGTTAATTTATTATGTTATATCGAAAGGAAAATCACTATCGCTTGGAGATTTACTCCTACAATGGTTGAAATGAGTAAAAAGGAACATCACAAGAAGGATCTCTTCGCGAGTATTTACAGCCTACGTATGAAGCTTATCATAGAGTCTTATTCATGATGATGATAATGTTCAAAGTGTGGCTCTTCATAATGACCGATATGATGGAATTTGGATTCGCTATGTTCCTCCAATACGGCACCGTGGTTATGGTTCTTCTCAGTTTCGGGATGAATGAGTTTCAATATTTGCTTGGTGTCTCCAATTTCGACGGGTTTCTTGACTAAATGTTGATCTTCCTTCTTAACGTAAACAGGAACGGCATGATAGTGATGCAATTTGACGCTTTGATGAGATTGGGCGTGCTTGTGCTCAACGTGAGAATGATGTTCGGTTTCCTCGTGTTGGGGAGCAACTTCATGATGGCTGAATTCCACATGCTCCTGTTCGTGTCCGTGTCCATGTTCTTGTTCATGTCCATGTTCATGTCCATGTTCGTGTCCACCGAAATGACCTAAATCGTGGATTTTCAAAGCGCTGGCAGCAACAACAACAAATGAGCACAAGATCTAAAAAGCAAAAAATACAAAAAAAATTGCAATTGTCGGTTATCGCCTTATATGGATACAAAAGAAACAAAAAAAAAAAAAACGTTTTTCTTACGAGAAACTTCATGATGTTTTTTATGTTAATAAGGAATACAATTTCCGGGACACGCGATAACGTAGTTTAAATTTAAATTTGTGTGATACTTAGAGTACGTTACTGTAAGACACTTTGGCTTCGACTGTGATTGTGGTTCGAATCCAGATTCGATTTATACTTCCATCTCAGCTACAAGCAACTCACGTTAAACACTCACTCTCAACTCATTCATTTACCTACGTTTAGTTTCGGCAATGAATGGAAGTTTGCGCAGAAACGAAAGCGATAACAAGAAATGCTGTTTGTAACAACAACAACAACAGCAACAAAAACACATAAACATAAACGGCAAACACAAGCGCTGAATGAACGAACCGAACTCCGTATCTTGCATCTAAAAGTAAATGGTTTTAGTTTAAGCCTCTAAGCTAACGAACTTTGAAAAACAAGACCGCCTGGATGATGTTGTTGGGATCAGTTTTATGGGTTGCTCTGTTGGAGTTACACAAACACCGTATATAACTAACTAAAAAATCATACATCACTTGTCATTAATCGCTTAAGCGTTTAATGAGCAGAAGTCCCAAACATCTCTTACGCACACGCGCGCGCTCTTCTTTACGTTACTCCTCTACGGATGGTAGTGTTCAAGTTTGTCATTCTGCTTCTAATAAAAAAAGGAAGCTTACTACAGTAAGCTGAAGAAGATGTGCTTTTTTTGGCCTTCCCTGCTTTTCGTCCGCATCTCTCGACTGAAAAAGGTAATATTCTTCACCCATAGGTTACATGCTGCAACCTATGCCAATGTAAAATTATTAAAGAGGGTTTTAGAAACTTTTCGGCACAGTGGACAAAGTAATGCCAATCAATAACAAAAGATTTACTGTCTAAAGTTTAAGTATAAAGTAAAGGTAACTCGCTATCCGTAAGAAGATACTCGCATGATACGATTATCGTAAAGTAACGTACATGCACTTATAATCACATTGAAGTAGTGGGTGTCGAAAAAACGTCCAAAATGTTGAACATAACCTACTTGTTTGTTTTCAAGTGCAGCCGTTTGGTTTTTGCAGAAGATGACAGTAGATGGCCTTGAAATTGGGTGGAAGGCAACTACAAGGTAATGTGGAATTAAATTAAACATGCTTACTATGAGACAAAGTCCAATTATTTCCCAATTCGCTATTTAATGCCATGAAAGGTAAACGTATAAAAACCATGATAATTAATTAAAAACTAACCACTAACTATTATTAGGATTAATTGAAAGCAATTTTAGTAGCAATAAAAAAAAATTAGATTTCAATAGTAGTGTTTTAACGAACAAACTCTTTAAGCGTTAATTGCACAAAAAAAAAATAAATAAATAAACAAAAAATGTATAATATTTATAACTTAAACGTATAAAAACAAAATAAGAAAGAAATTGTATCGGATTAAGACCAAATCCGTGCTTATCTGTCTTGTGCTTATTTTCTGTTTTATTTATTACTGTTAGCCGCCAAAGAGATATGTTTATGAAATGCTCTGAACGCATAAAAATATACAAGGATAAGTTGAAAGTGCTTACATTTTTTCTTTTATATGGCCATAAAGCGTTATTGAATTTTTTTCAGA